TTTGAATACAAGCGCGCTGATCCACACAGGTGTTCACTGTCCATAGACATAAACTACACCTTTCTTGGCTGCTACTTCCAAGCACATTGTGCGCTGTTGGTCCTGCTTGCTGCACAACAACATTCAGTATTTACTGCTGTTTACACTTAGCTAGATTAATGCGATGCTGTTGTGTTTAGTATGTTGCTGTTTTTTGCTTGTTTTCTCTTTTTCCTCTCAACAGCTGATCCAGGAGATTTTTTTCTCTTCTCTCTCTTTTTAAGTTTCCTTTCTCACTGTCCCTCTCCCCTTCTGTTTTTCTTTCCCTTCCTCTTTCTCCCTTTCCTGTCCCTCAGTCATGTCTGTCCCGTCTGTAACAACTGAAAATAAAATAAAATAAATAATAACAACAAAGGTCGATCAAATGGACCAATACAGCAAGGCCGTGATGATCCACTTGGTGAAGTAAATCCATCGGGTCTCCTTGTTGGTCTTCAGACAACAGATCTGGCTAAAGAACCAAATGGGACAGGCAAACGACCAAAACAAAATCGCTCTGACAGCAGCAGTCAGCGCCTCAGTCTACGCTCAGATGTAGTCAGTGTTTGGAGGCCACGAGCTGATGTTTTGAACCAAAAAAGGAGTAAAAGAAATAAAATGCTACTGCATCTCCACTTCAGCGGATTAAATAAAAGCAATTAAATAAAACGAGGCCACGCAGGTGTTTCTGGTGACAACAGCTTCAAATTCAGTCTCCTTCAAATATTCCACGTAGTAACAGCACGAGACAGCAGCGACAAACCGCCGCGTCCGCTGCAGTTCAGATGGGAAACACATGAAATGAACTGACCTGATGGTTTGCATGTGGAGGCAGAACCAGCTCCACACTCTCCACCCGAGTCCTCTCTGCTGCCACTGCACTGGGTCCCACTGAGCTGTCAACTGATACAGAAACAAGTCAAGTCGTCCCTCTATGTGAAGAAAGTACTAATTCAAGTTTGATAGTCATTTAGAGCCAGACGGTTGTCTTTGTTAGCGACCACAGCAGACGCCATGGAGCCACAGGCTAAAGTATAGGTCAGTGCAAATGTTCTTCTCTCAGCTTCGCCGGCTTCTCCTCCTGCCTGAGCTTCCTTTGTCCTCCTCGCGAGTGCCCGGACCATCGCAGCCTTGCCTCCCTACGCTCGTCTTAACTCGAGTCGTTCCTCTCATATCCTCATTTCACGTCCACAGTGGTCACTCCCAGTGGAAACCCCGACATCTCAACTCCTCCAGCTCGACCTCTTGTTTTTGTTAGTGCCACTGCCTCCAAACCATGGCAGCTCTCACTACCATGGTTTCAATCCTCTGTCACATATCAACCCTGAAACCTGTCTCTTTTCTTCCCCTGTCTGTTGCTCTGGATGGTTGAGCCCAGGTATCTAAACTCCTTCCTGTTACCTGCAGCCTCCCTGCTTTCCCTACAGGTCACATCATCTGCAAACCTCACCGTTCACAGAAGGGGCTGAGAGCAGATCCCTGCTGTGATGCCAGACACCTCCCCATGTCATGCACCAGCCTCACACGCTTCTCCAGCACTTCTGACATTCTCGTGTAAACCCACAGCTGCTCTATCCTGTGCTTTCTACACGCACAACGACGCAGTGAAGTGAAAAGACTTTGCTGTCTGCCGGGACGTGGCCGGGTGCGTCACACTCACCCTGCTGCACCGACTCATTGGAAAGCAAATCCTTGATGATGTCATCGTGCACCATTCGGACCCTCCGCCTTTCAGCGGCCACGCTGTATTCAACCTGCTCCTTCTGCGTGAGAGGAACAATGGGCTTCAAGGTCACCTGGTTCGGGGTCAGGAGGTACCACACACACACACACACACACACACACACACACACACACACACACA